TAAGTAGAAAATGTGATTCGAAAGCTTGTATCAAGGTTAGATGTATGCATGTACATACATATATAGTTTATCTGAGTTTATCTTTTTCTAAATAAAATATTAAATATAATATTATGTGTATATATAATATTACCTTACCTTTTCACGTTCCAAATTTGTCAACTCGAGTAACGTACTCTGACTTACTCTTTCCGCCACTACTCCGGGTTCTTTAGAGTTACTCGGAGTGAATTTTGGAACGCACCCCTGCATGGTCTACAATGGCAGTAGCAGTAGTGGATGAGACTGTAAGAGTAACAAATTGACCAATCACAGTCGATTGTGAAAAGAATAATCGACTGTGATTGATCAATTTCTTACTCTTACTTCTTAAACCAAACTTACTTCGCATATTGTAAACTACGCCTTATTTATCGGGTATGCAATTGTGTAGCTACGTAGTTCGGATCAACGTTTTATGAGTGTAGCTAACATCATTGATTGTCCTGATGTCACTAGTTGTTGTCACCGGTTGGATTAGTATGGAGTGGTGCCCTCAGTTTGATCTGTTTTTGACATGTTCAGTGTAATATTTACTGGATACGTTTTTGCACAAGTTTCTTCAAATTTCAGACTAAAATGTCGAAAATGAATTCGAAAGACAAAGACAACAAAACGTTGCACGATAAACTCAAGCAATTTTTTCGCATAAATAAAGGTAAATGTATTACGTTTCGGATATCTCGTATATAGCAAGTTGTACGTTACATCCGATATTTATAATTATATCGATCGTCTTTTTGCAGGAAGTTACAAAAGTCGCGAAGAGTTCACTTTGACTTATGATATCGAAAAAGAAATTAGTCCAGACAGTCCAGTGCATCATCGTACGAAAGCGATTAAAGAGCTTCGTGACGCAGTGCTCAATCAACAGTGGGAAGATGTATGTATACATCCTTATCTATATTTATCTAAAAAAAACTACAGAGTGTCATTCTAAATGTACGAGTATAAAAGATCAGACAAAAATAATGCTTTACGTTTAACTTTTTTTCTATTTATTTCTAATAACAGAAAGCGGCTGAACGTTTGTGGAATTTAGTTCAAGACTTACTAGGAAAGGATGTTCCTCGCGAACATAGGCATTTAACATTGAATTTTTTAAAATGCCTTGTACAAGGACAATATTCTAAACTTTCATCATTGATGCGTGTAAAATTTTTCATGGTGGTGAAGGAATATGATATTCCCGAAGATATTGGTCCTAGGTATTTTGACAAGCAATATCCATTACTTTATTTTAACCATCACTGTTTTGTCTATCACTTTTTTGATATTTTAGATTGGAATTGTTACAAACATTAACAGAACATGGGAAAGATATTTTACATTTGGAAGAAAGAATGGGCCCTTTTCTATTAGAATGGATGCCTACCGTAACAGCAGGAGATGGGAAAAGAGGAGCTGAATTTTTGTCTCTTCTTGTTAATGTTATCAAATTCAATTCCGCTTACATTGATGAGGATATTATATCTGGTCTCGTCCAGTAAATATCTTAAGAATCATATTTTTTTTTCTAACAATAAGTGAAATTACTTGACTCATATAACAAGTTATCATAATTTTTTTTTTCAGATATATCTCTCATTTGTGTTATTATAGTAATAATACCGAAGTTGTTTCTGGATGTTTGGAAGCTCTTGATGCAATTATGTGTTATAGTAATTTGCAATCTGACTCATTACAAACCTTTATTATAGCCTTGTGCAGAAGTGTAAATGTTGAGACTTATTGCCAAACAAGTTGGAAGGTACAATAATATTTAGATATGTTCAAAAACATGTAAAAATCTTTTCCTTTATTGATTATCTACTATAAAAATAGATATACTACATATTTATACATATAAATGATATACATTCTATACATTAAAAAAAAACTGCGTGTTACATGTGTTCTAAAATTAGTAAGTAAAATATGGAGTATACATATATTATAATATTTTACAGATTATGCGAAATTTATTAGGAACTCATATGGGTCATTGTGCTTTGTATACAATGTGCCGCTTGTTACAAGATACTAACTTTCAACGTGACGTTCGTCTATTACGAGGTGCCGTGTTTTATGTAAATATGGGTTTGTGGGGTACGCATAGAATACCAAAATTAGAGTGTACGCCAGCATCTGTTTTACCTTCGTTCTATCAAGTATGTATACATCTGTTTTACCTTTATTTTATGAAGTATTAATGCATATGTGTACACGCACCGGCAGGAATGGTGTCCCTTGGCGTTCGGCGCGCGACGCTACACACTCGTACCGAAGTTCACACGCACGTGTTACTGGAAGCGCGGAGGAGGCGAGGAGCGCGAAGGAAGAAAGTAGTGGGGGGC